AAAAAAAAAAAAAAAATTGCTCTACTTAAAAAAGCAAACCAGAGAGGAAAGCTGGAGCCGCGGGAGGGGAACATGTTGGAGTCATGTTGGAGTGGAACCAGTGCATGGCTGATGCTGTGATGAAGATGGGTACTGGTTTGGGATTAGGAATTGTTTTCTCACTTACCTTCTTTTAAAAGAAAAATGTAGCTGTTAGCCTTTGGTTCTGGCATGGTGTCGCAATGGGCAAAGTTACGACTTATGCAGTCGAGGGGGAGAAATAAAGAATGTTCACCCACTTCCACCCTTTTCAATGCTTTATTCACTCAAATCACTCCATATAATTTCACTCTATAGGTTCTTAATCAAGAAAATGACGATCCTTAATGCTAGGCACTACAATAGACAAAATCAATTCACAGCAAAAAATTCTAGATTAATTCTAAGCACTGCAAACACACTTAATCGTGACAGGCTAGTGACAGACATTCCCTCTGCATGCTAAATTCAAGTGTCAGATCAAAAGTCTCAAGCCTTAGGCTCTAAGTCCAGCAGATGCACACTCACTCAGACCACAGTGATCAGATCAGGAACCAAAGCAGGCTTCTCCTGGGGTGGAGCTTATAGCCATCTGAGGAGAGGGTCATAGGGAGAAGTCCTTTTCTCACTAGAGTCAAGAGGCTGCTGTAGAGTTTGAGAATGGCAAGAACAACGCAGAGGATCAGGCAGATGAGAAAAGTTGGGATGTCATTCTAGGTCCTCATCAGGCTCTCGGGCTTGTGTGCATCAGTGTCAGCTGGCTGAATGTCTGTTCATTTGTTCCATCACTTATACTAAATTTTGGGGCTTCTGACCACCCTTTCAATCCCTATTAGCTGCTATCACTGGATTTCTCAGTGATGCCTTTGGTCCTGACATTAAATCACCTGGTCTGGTGGCCCCTCCCTGATTTTCTTGCTCCTTATCAGGGCAATGAAAACATGCCAAAGACTTCACTCTGAGTTTGTCAGGGTGGGGAGAAGTGATTTGTTTGTGCCTAAGGGCCATACTGGAGAGTTCTGTAGGTGTGCCTTGTGAGACTGCAGGTTTCAAACTGGAGTTTTAAAATGGAGTTGCTTAGGCTAAGGCCTAAGGCCATCCTTACACTCGGGATTGGGGATGGCCTACTCCAACTGCCAGCATGATTTCCAGGCTCCATATCTTCTTCATGGAAAATATGTCAAAGAGCAGGAGTAGTGATGTATACTGAGAACATCCCAGTGGAGGACAAGAGAAATCATGTTTATTCCTGAGGAATACTGAAGTGTCTTGGAGTAAGCTGACATTCTTCTAGAACAATGTTATAAGTAATGCTTTAAACTCCAGCACATTGTTTATATATTTAAGACCAAGTCTTTCTTGTTTCGTATTTACTCTCTGGAAAATGTAAGGTCGTGATCTTAAATAAATTTAAATAAAAATTGGGTGGTGGTGGTGGGGAAGCAAACCAGAAAGAAAAAAACCTTCACTCAGTAGCAGGATGGAGTCTTGGCTAAGCATCTGCTGCAGGTGTGAGCTGGGCTGCCCATCACCCCTGCAGTGCCTGCCTTGCCTTCTCGCTTACCCCGAAGGGCAACCATCTCATGGTGGAGGTTTTTCAGGGAATCACCAAAAGCTTCTTGAGAGAGTGAGAGAGGGGGGGGGAGAGAGAGAGAGAGAATTTTAACATTTATTTATTTTTTCTTAGTTCTCGGCGGACACAACATCTTTGTTGGTATGTGGTGCTGCTGAGGATCGAACCCGGGCCGCACGACTACCGATTGAGCCACATCCCCAGCCCCCAAAAGCTTCTTTCTAGCAGCTTGGGCCCCCTCTGTTTAGAACTAGACCTGACAAGCCCTTCTTCTTGTACAGTCATTCTGCTGTGGGCAGCTCTCCTAAAGTTCCAAATCTGGGAAGAGACTGGCTCAGGTACCTTAGAGGCTTGCGGTTTCCCCTGCAGCTACCTCCTAAATTTCTTAAGCCTTCTGCTTTTTTTACTCAGAGGCTCTTTTCTCCATTACACTGTCAGCTTTATGCTGGCAAAGCGGTCTTCCTAGGTGTTTTTCTGGCCACTTGTACTTGAGTTATAGAATGATGTGGAGATGGAGACAACTCAAAGACATCTCTCAGCATGGCCCCAGAGTTAATGGTATGATGAGCACAGTCCAGGAGCTGATGAAGAACTGGAGAAGATGAAGAAGAAAGAGATTTTCCTCTTTCTCAAGTCTAAAGCTACAGGTAACCCTGCACTAGGTATTTGTAAGAAGTATAGAGGCTGGAGTTGTGGCTCAGAGGTAGAGCACTTGCCTAGCATGCGTGAGGCACTGGGTTAGGTCCTCAGCATCATATAAAAATAAAGGTAATAAAGGTATTGTGTTCACCTATAATTAAAATAGGGAAAGAGTGCAGAAGGCCCAGGTTTCTAGACTCCCAGGCTGCTACAGAGATTAGGATTAGAGTCCCACCCTCACTGGTTCTGACCTTGGAAACCTTACAAACCACCCTCCTCACTTAGAACCAGCAATTGAGGTTGGTGGTGACATTTTAACTCACAGGGTAAATAAGCAGCTGCTGAACTGCTATTTAGATGGCAGACTCGCATTCCAGTGCTCCCTATCTCCCTTAATTCAGTGAGACCTCCCAACTTTCGCTTCACCTTTCCTGCCTTTGGAACTGTAGGAAGGCCAGAGCCAGCCAGTGTCAGGTGGGAGAATAGGGGGTGGATCCGGGGGGCCCAGAGGAGGAGGAGGTGGAGAAGTAATGGGCCTGGGCCCTTTAAGAGGGC